TGGCTTTGGCCTGCACCTGAGTGATTCTGGCATGGATAATGAGGGCTCCAGCCCAGGGCTATCAGGGATGGGGACATGGGACCTTGCAGGAATCATGGTATACCAGGCAGGGTTGGCAGATGGAGGCAGAGCTCATCATTTTTTTGGTGATATTTCAGCACCCTCTACAGTCAGCAACTGAGTGAACAGACTCAGCTGAAAGAAAAAGTGAAAATGTTGCTAGAGGACAAGAAAAAGCTGCAGGGGGAGCAGATTTTACTACAAGAGTCACATGCGGAGGCAAAGAGGCTCCATGAAGAGGCCCATGAGAAGATCTATGACCTCTGGACAAGGCAGCTGCAGGTAGGTTGAAGCAGCAGGGCCAACCTGTCCACCAGTCTGACCATACACACACATATACACACACTCATGTAACCATCTACTCACTTACCCAATTGATCCATCCCATCCAATAGTTCACTTCTGTGATCATTCACAAGTCTTTCTGGGAGTTAGCCTCTGATAGCAAGCAAACCCAACTGCTCTGCTGGAAGCTGCAGTCCATTCAGGGAGACGAGTAAGTCACATATCACTCACCTGTATGTCAGTATGGGAGGAGCCGTGCTGTGATGGGAGTCACAGAGATCTGAGTGAGTCAGGTCAAGGGTCTGGGTCTCCTTTGCTTGGCAGGGGTCATGTGTGATCAGAGCAGAAACAGCATGGAAGAAGGAACGCCCCCTGAAAAAGTCAAAGACCGTGTCACATTGACATCTTTTTGGGTGTCATATGGCATTTTACCCTCTTGTTCCCAGATTGCCATGGTGTCCTCTTTAACTGGCCAAGCTCTTGGTTCACAGTGACAGAAACTAAATTAACAGCTTGTCAGTAGTGTTTGCTGTGAGTGGCATTGGCCCATTCTCCAATCCTGGATCTTAAATTCTGAAACTCACTGGATGATCAGGGATGTGGCAAGGGCTTATGACAGGCGGTGTTCAGGGTGACAGATTTGAGCCAACTACATCAACATAGTCTGCAGAGACACAGCATGCTTCTCTAGGCAATTTTAGTCCAAAATTATGCAGAACTGTGGGACTCACTTATAACAGCTATTGTGAAGAGTTTAAAACCAACTGGCAATGTCATCCTCATCCAGTGTGATGTCCTCCTCACTGCATCCTGATCACTGATAATTTGAGGGATTTGTGTCTGTGTGTGAGTATGCCTGCCAGAGGGCACATACATCTGTG